GCCACGTCTGTAGTAACGACACCGGTGCGCAGCGCTGGCTGTCCATCACCGTGGTGTTGCTTTGTACGGCCTTTGGTCGATGAGTGCTCTCCCCGACGATGCCCGAGTGTGGTTTAGGAGTTAGCGCAGGACTGTGCCGATTGCCAGTGGCCAGGTTGGATGTGTCCGTCCCCTTTTGGAGGGTCGGAGAATTTTGCTGTCCGGGTGCAAGCTGTGTAATGCATCACCCCCAGGACCAGACAACTGGCACTGTCCCATTTTATTTAAAAGTACAGATGCTGTCAAATTGCCCCTTCTTGCAGCATTTGTGGCTGGCAGAGTTTTTAATTCATTTCTTCTTTGAGATTGAATGATCCAGCCGCGCACCTTGACATCTTTGCACTCAGTGCCTCCAACTATGTCTATGGTCTACCAGGCGATGCGTAGGCAGAGCCTCGGTGGAGAGAGGAGGCTTACATCAGTGCCGTTCCCCTCCACCCCTGAAGCATCGCGGCTGGCTCGGGGGGGACTCCTGTGTCACGTACCACAGTCACGCTCTGCCTGCTGCACCTCCCCTCCTGCTTGGACCAGGTCTGGATCCGCCTGAGATGACTGGGACGTTGCAGTCGGAGAAGATGAGTAGTAGATAATAAAAGGAGGGCTAGCTGGACCTTAGCTGGCTTTTAACCTTCTCAAGCAGGCTGGAGCCCCGTGCTCGGGCTGCTCATCCTGGAGCTTGCTCTGCCGTTGAGCGCCAGCCAAAGTGACAAAGCCCTTCAGCCCTCCGTGGATTTGGAGGCACCTCCCAGACCTCCCTGTCTCACTGGAAATTGCCTGCCTTGCTGTTGGGACATGTGCTGGGTGTACCTGTGTGTGCCGCCCCGGCACGTGCAAGCCTTTGGGGCACAGATTTGTCATTTACAGTCCGAGGCCAAGCCCCCAAACACCATCCCAGACAACTTGGTCCTATTCCCATTTCCTCTGCTTCCGTTGCCATCTGGGAAAGTTGATTTTCTCAGCCCCTCAATGTGTAAATGTTATCCTGAGCCAAGGACAAACACTCACCCAGCTTTCTAAGAGAGACCAAGAGCGTATACTTAAATAGGTAAAACCTGAGTGCATCTCATTTGAGAGAGACTCGATTCCAGTTTTGTTATCCGTGATGGGTTGCTCCACACTACAGCCTGGGAAGGAGAGAGCTTATCTGTGTCCTTCAATAGAATCATAGAATCATAGAATCGTTAAGGTTGGAAAAGACCCTTAAGATCATCGAGTCCAACCGTTAACCTATCACTGCCAAGTCCATCTATACCATGTCCTCGAGCACCACGTCTATCCGTTCTTTAAAAACCTCCAGGGATGGAGACTCAACCCCTTCCCTGGGCAGCCTGTGCCAATGCTTGACCACCCTTTCGGGGAAGAAGTTTTTCCTAATATCCAACCCAAACCTCCCCTGGCGCAGCGCTTGAGGCCTCCCTCTCATCCTATCACTCGTTACTGGGGAGAAGAGACCGACCCCCACCTCGCTCCAGCCTCCTGTCAGGCAGTTGTAGAGAGCGATGAGGGCTCCCCTCAGCCTCCTCTTCTCCAGGCTAAACAACCCCAAGAGGAAGGGGAGCTGGGGCCCGTGCTCTCCTGGCTGCCTGTGCAGGACAGTCCACCTTTGGCAAGGAGAATTTCTTGAAGCTGGGGAGGAGGAGGAGCAGGATCCATTTTGGATCCCACGTGGGGATGCCTGTTGAGCGTGCGTTGCTCGCAGGAGACTGCAGCAGGGCTTACATGAGAATATGGAGGGGTTTGGGCAGTAAGCCAAGCCAGGCTGGGCTGTATGAAATGCAAACAGAAAAAAGCAATTTGCAATGCCTTGTAACTCAATCAAACCTGTAAAGGGCTTCACAGGGCCAGGAAAAGGTTATCCCTTCGGCAGCAGCCCTGCCAAACGTCTCGTTTCCTTTCCAAACCTACGGAGCCCTAAGAACCCTTCAGAGACATTTACAGGGATCTTCGGTGACGGGAAGGGTTAGGTATAACTTTGTTAATTGTCAAGGCTCACATTGCAAGCTTTTATTTCATGGATGTTAAAATTAGAAGGCGGTGTTGCGGTCCTCTCATCTGGCCTCTGACATAGCAGTTGCTGTATTGAGCCTAACAATGCGTGCGTCAATTCTGTTAATATATTTTAGAAAAGTCTTTGCTCTCTAAGTGACAGAAACTTCTGCTCCAGTGGTTAATTATGTCTGCTGAAACATACCTATTTGTTTCTGGCTCTCTTTGGTACTGCGTATTCAGGGGTTGACATTAAGTACCGAGTTGGTATTTCTTTTAAAAAGGGAAGTTTCAGTACGTGGTTGGCTGCGTATTATTTCTCCGACTTACTTCTCTGGAGAGAAGACCATAATTGTCCTTACAGGGTTACTGGAAAGCCGAAGTGAGACCTGTGCGCTGCATTATGGCGTTGGGCTCTGTGGTGTGGGAGGTGTGGGCGGCATCCCCGTTGAACGTAAAGAGCAGTGACGTATGGGTAATGTGCTGTTGCTGCTTCTGCGTGTTCGGAGCTGAGCTAATACTTGAAGGTTGCCAACACGGCGTGTGTTGAAGTTGAGTTAAATTAGGATCGCCTTACTTACAATGTTTGTTTCATGTAGGAAATGTTAATGCTAGATGCTTATCTAGAATCGCATCAGCGTAACGGGCTGAATTAGCAACCAAAGGCCAAAGTATGACAGAAGTGTAAGGCTGTAAACCATGTCAGCTGGTAGGGATTAGGAGAGTGCTCTGCCTCCATTAGGTCAGTTATAAACCATCTTGAGCTATTTTTCTGTTAAAGAAGATGTCTTAGTTAATGAATTGTTGTGTATGGGAATTAATGCTGGATGAGTCCCCTGTGGCTTTCATGATGAGGGCCAAATAAAATATTAATGAAATTAAAACAAACAATCCCCTGCTCTTCCCAAGTACCTTCCAGATGGGTTTCTCTAAGCACTGGTCACCGAAAGGGCAGTCAGGCCCTGGCCCAGGCTGCCCAGGGAAGGGGTTGAGTCTCCATCCCTGGAGGTATTTAAAAGAAGGGCAGACGTGGTGCTCGAGGTCATGGTTTAGTGGTGGACTTGGCAGTGCTGGGTTAACGGTTGGACTCGATGATCTTAAGGGTCTTTTCCAACCTTAACGATTCTATGATTCTATGATTCTAAGATGGGGAGCCCCACAGGAGACAGGCCAGTGTCATTACTCCCTTTCAGAGGTAGGGAGATGGAGGCGGTGGAAAGCAGCAGCCCTACGGCCACACGGTCCAGCAGCAGGGCTGCACAGGAGGCCCAGGGGTTCTCCTGGCTGGCGCCTTTGCTCTGATCCCTGGTTTCAGCTCCCTTAGAGAAATGAAAGCACATCCAGACTGCTCCTGCACTGGCCAGCTGGAATCTGATGTTTCCAGGTCTGGGATGGCCTTTAGGAGTCCCAAATCTCAAATATCCTTACTCACAAAACTTCCCTGTGCTTCCAGATCAGAGAATAAAACCCAGGAGATGTGGATCTTTTCTCCTGATGCCTCATCCACAGGACACATTTCCTTGTCTTGCAGATTGTCCATTCTGGAGGCCGAGTATAGGAGCTGGAATGACAGGCTGGGGAAGGACAGGCTCTTTTTGGTTACACCTGCGCCGTACAGTGCAGTGCAAAAGATCTTGAGCTGGATGGAGCCAAGCAAACTAACTTCAGGAGCAGCATCCCTGAATCATAGAATCGTTAAAGTTGGAAGGGACCTCTGAAATCATTGAGCCCAACCGTTAACCCAGCTGCCAGGTCCACCTCTAAACCATGGCCCTAAGCACCACATCCACACGTTTTTTGAATGCTTCCAGGGACTGTGATTGCACCACTTCCCTGGGCAGCCTGTGCCAGGGCCTGACCACTCTCTCCGTGAAGAAATTTTTCCTAATATCCAACTCATGGCCTTCTTGGGGTGAGGGGCCCAGCGCTGAGCACAGCACTCGAGGGGCGGCCTCACCAGTGCCCAGCACAGGGGCACCATCACCTCCCTGGTCCTGCTGGCCACACCATTCCTGATACAAGCCAGGATGCCATTGGCCCTCTTGGCCACCTGAGCATCACTTCAGTCCAGTTCCCAGGCTAACACAGTCATGGTGCTTTCGTACTCTAAACTAGGAACCGTGTGGCATAACGGGGTGTTAAATATCTACGGTGCTTTTGGATGTAGCGCAAAGCTTTGAATTTATTCAGAGGGAGCTCAGAAATCTTCCCGCTGCTGCAAAGTGTAAGGATGTATTCTGCAGCTCTGGGCATGACTCTTAGGTGGTACCCCGAGAAGCAGTCCAGCGTATGGAGAAGAAGGAGACCTAGGCGGGCACTCCAAGCTAAACAGAGTTGATTCTGTTTGCGTCACGCAAAATCAAAGCTAAACGCATTTTCTCGCACCTATTTGTGTACCTTGGACGCCGAACAGCCCAAGCAAGACTTGCCACATTTTCTGTGTAACGTGCTGGTGCACGTACGCTTGTGCGTGTGCTCTGATGACAGCACGTGGCCAGTTAAGGGCAGTGTAACTTACTGCACTGACAACAAGTGCAAAGAGGAGCTTATGAGGTCAGAAAAATTGTCATTAGGAGCATTTTTAAAGCACTTTCCCATTATTTTTTTCCCCTGTCTCTCTGAAGATCTAAGAAACAAGGAAATGGAAATACTAAAATGATTCCAGAGGACAGTCAACATACTGATAACCATCCCTCCCTGCTCCCTCCAAAAAACTGGAGGACGGCCTGCCTCGCGCCGTGTGGGTATCACGCCTAAGAAACTGGAAATCAGATGTGACGGTGGCCAAATCTTTTCCCCTTCTGATGGGGAAGTTTATTGAATTTTTGGTAAAGATCCTTGCATCTGGAAATAATAATTAAGGAAGCAGTAATAATTTTGTCATGCTTCTATAGCAGACCACAAAAGACCACCTGCAGTCCACTCACTCTTTCTCCCCTCTCATCTCCTTGTCTGCCTTTCAGGATTCACCGGGATCTTGTTGCGTTGCTGGTGCAAGCCCCTCTTCCAGAAGAACTGCTCTTGCCTGTCTCCGCCTCCGCGGGAACAGCCGAAGGGGGGTGCGGAGCGATAAAAATTTATGTTTTCATCAAACCGGGCCAAGGAGAATGGGGGTCCCACACCCAAAAGAATGAAGACACGACAGAACAAGGACTCGGTACGTGAGATGGGAGAGGGGAGGTGGGACACCGGAGCCAAGCTGGAGCTGTGGGTTGGGACTGGGGCTCACAGCAAAGCTCGTGGCCGTGGGCTTGGTGTAGTGGAGTGCCAGGGGTTCAGGGGCTTTGGGAGGCTGGGGAGAGGGCAGGAGTGGAGGGAGATGCCAAGCAGGGCTGATCCAGTGATCCCTCTCTTAGATGTCAATGCGGAGTGGACGGAAGAAAGAGACTCCAGGGCCCCGAGAGGAGCTCAGGTCACGGGGTCGAGCTTCCCCCGGGGGCGTCAGCACCTCCAGCAGCGATGGCAAGGCTGAGAAATCCCGACAAGCAACAAAGGTAGTATAAGCTAGTACGCGAGCGTGGGGTGCCCGAGGACTGCCCAGATCGGGTAGGATCTGTTTGGGGATCCAGGGACGCAGACCAGAAGGGATCCACCGAGGAACCCATGCTGGGTTAGCTCTCTGGAATGGGTGGGATCCCTCTTCTCATCTTGCACTTCCCATCGTCTCCCAAGAACCGGTCTTCAGTCTCACCAGCCCTTTTTAGTGCTAATTTTTGCTGTGTTCCGGCTCAGTGTTGCACTGCTAAGCTCTTCAACGCACGCGCCGTGGCGGCTGTGTCTCACTTGCTGCGGTCTGTGAAGGTCTGGCAGGGTGGGAAGTGTCCCCATGACCCTCCCACCTCCCTGTTCTCCTTCTCTCCCTTGCAGAAAGGCCGGGTGGAGGAATCCTGTACCCCCAAGGGCAGCAAGCAGGGCCGAACAGAAGAGATCTCAGAGAGCGAAGGGGAGGACACCAACGCTCCCAAAAAAACCAAAACCGAGGTGAGTTGTCCCTGCTGTGATTGCTGGCATGTCCTGGGTCCAGGGCAAAGGAGTCTCCTGTTCCCTACCTGTGCTGCTCACACCCACCCGGCTTGAGGTTCCCGCTGCTCGGGAGCCCTGGCACCTTGGGTTTCGCACTGCAGCTCTTCCAACCTAAATGGCATCTGCCTGGCTACAAAAACGCCACCAGGAGTGACGACTGAGCAGATGGAGGCTCTCCGTCTCTTTTGCCTTGCCTGCAGGGGACTGCCACGCTCTCAGAGCTGGGCACATGCCCTGCCTTTCCCGGCTCGGTGGCAAGAGCCTGGCTCCGCGCGCAGCTGCCGGTTGGGTTAGACTCGGCCTCTTCTGCTCCCCCAGAGCAGTGTGAAACGGAGGTGCTCAAGTCGTGGTGGGGTCTGGGTGATGGTTGTGCCAAACCTGCTCACGCACACGCTCTGCATAGTTGTGGCAGGGCTTTTCTGAAGTGCCGACAGCACCAGGCTGGATTGGTGGTGGGATGGTTGGAGTAAGACTCAGTTCTTGCGCTTCTCCGTTCCCCGTTAGCCTGTTGAGGGAACTGGCCTTAAAGGCCTGCAAACGCGGGGATATTTGCTCGCGTTATGAGGTCATTGTAATGAAACCACTGTGGTTACACCTATGTAATTTCTCCACGTGGACACTCTGTTCGGCTCAACAAGTGATCTTTTTTCAGTTTAGCCTCTCTTGTAAGCCCCGAGGCTCAAGAGTGGTAGTTGTTATGTGGCCGTGCTAACTGTTGAATCATCGGGGGGGATATTGGGAGGTAAGGAGTGGGGCAGCCAGAGGAGGAAACGCTTGGGGCAGGGGGCTGGAGGGGAGCGGGGTCTCCTGACTGAGGGAGAGCCCTGCAGGGACAAGAAGAGCGATTCTGGGTCTGGGGGCTGTGCTGGGCTGTGCTGGGCTGTGCTGGACGTGCTGTGGTGCGTGCTACTCCGTGCTACCTGGTGGTAGCACTGAACCGTTCCCCGGCCGACAGCCCATCGCTGCTGGTGGTGGTGGTAGGACCTTTTGTATCTATTCCCTCTCAACCTCGTCCACAACAGTTCCCTGCCCTCCCTCGCTGCCTCTGTACCCAAGGTGCCTGTCATTACCTCTTCCCTGAACGTGTGATGCTCACAAAGGACCTGAGAGCACTGAAGTTGCTCCAAGGGGAGGCAGGAGGACTGGTGTTATTTATACCTTGCCAGACAATGTCTCCTTCCCTCTGTGGGGTTTTCTAGTGCGGGCAGAGAAAGGTCAGGAAGCAAGTTCTCTGGGAACTTGTAAAGTATTGTGCATGGTCTGGGAGGCCACATAATGTCTCTCTTCTTCGTCCTACTTCAGGAGCTGCCCTGCCCTCCATCCCCATCCGATGTTGACAGCCTTGACGGCCACAGCTTCAACGATGAGATGAGCAGCGACCCACGGGACATTGACCAGGATAACAGGAGCACTTCACCCAGCGTCTACAGCCCTGGCAGCGTGGAGAATGACTCCGACTCCTCCTCGGTGCTGTCCCAGGGGCCCTCTCACTCCTACCACCACCCTCCGCTCCGGTAGCTCCCCCTCCCGACAGCCTGGCCCGTCCACCCGAGCCCAGCTTTGGGCTCCCGGGTGAGGTGCACCCCCAGGGACCCCCCGCAGGGAGCTACCACTCCCAGCTGGAGGGCCAGGCCTCCCGCATTTTCCAGGCTCAAGCCCCGCAGACACCCGCCTCCTCCTCCTCTGCTGTTGCTGCCCCTTCCGCTCCCTCTTCCTCCTCCTCCTCTTCCTCTTCTTCCTCCTCCTCCTCCTCCGCCCATGCTCCTCTTTACCCTACGGCCAACGTGGTCCAGGTTGGGGCCAAAATTGCCGGTGGAGTTGGGGGGCTCTCAGCACCAGGGGGTCGCGAGCAGACCCTCAGCGCCAAGCACAATCCGCCACCCACCACCCCCATCTCGCTGGCGTCAGTGGTCGGGGGGCTCCCCCCTCAAAAGACGCCCCCAGCCAACCCTCCGGCCGCCCCGCCGGCTTCGGCCCCTTCCTTCCCCCACGTCTCCGCCAATCTGCCTCCCCCTCCAGCCCTGCGCCCGCTCAACAACCCGGTGGCCGCCTCCAGCTCCCCGGGGATGGTGGGGCAGGCTCTGAGCGGCCATCTTCCTTCACCCCACGGGATGGGGCAGGACAAGGCACCAGCCCTGGCCCCCTCCCGCTACCCCTACGCCCCGCCGCCGCTGCCGCCCTCCAGCTCCTCGGCCCAGTACCCCCAGCCCTCCCCAGCCCAGCCCTTGCCCAGTTACAGTGCCTCCTACGGCCACTCATTCCCTCCGCCCAGCGGCCTCTCCGTCTCCAGCCAGCCCCCCAAGTACACCCAGCCCTCCCTGCCCTCCCAGCCCGTCTGGAGCCAGGGGCCCCCCCCCTACAGTCGCCCCGTGGGCAACCGCAGGTCCCCACACGCGGTCC